TTGTGTGATTTTCCCAAATACGTACAGTCTGTGAGTAGAAAAGAAGATACATGTTTAAATAATAGCAATACACTTATTTCAGAGTAAGTGTTGTTTCTATATAAAATTACATGTATACTGGATAGTAGAGGCGGCATTTGTGCTCATGTTCATTTAAGTTTGGAAAGTCACAAACAAAACACGAAATCTTGTAAACAGACTCAATAAATATGGCGGTAAAGCAAACCAAAATCAAGTTAAAAAGTCAACTTAAGCAATAAAAATCAGAAACTGAGCACTTAGGGAAGTATGGTCAGCATAACTTAACTGAAAATTATCAGAGGTTGGATCAAGTGCCTTGGAGGAAAAAACTTCCCCTGTCGACCGATCACACCGGCACTCGGCGTGTGTACCTTGTCATGATCGGAAAATGGTGAAAAAAAATCCTTATCAAATTCCGTGTGTAAATAATGTCTTAACGATTAGCCTAAATATAAGTTAAATAGCTTTTAGTTATTCTTATTCTTATGCTATAAGTTTGGCTAAGCTTTGTTACAAAGCGTAATGTAATGACAACGCAAAATGTAATAAACTGGGGTTTTGCATTTTGCGTTATTACATTCTGCATCGAGTTCAACGCAAAATGTAATATTGCTAAATGTAAAAACACAATTGTTTGATTATTGCATTTTGCGTTATTACATTCTGCGTCGATCGCGACGCAAAATGTAACAACGCAAAATGTAATAATCCTAAAAAGCTGGTTTATTACATTTCGCGTTGTAACATAGCTTTATATATGTATAACTTCTTATCATACCTGGGTAACATGACATCTCTGTACAGCTGAGTTTTCCAGTCACCATGCACCAACACGTGTTACATTTGTCTACCTTGAAGCTCTGACCAGCCTTGTAGACTACGCCTCTATGATGACAATCTGTTAAAACATAAAAAAAGTTTTGCAAATAAATCACTGTACATTAAAATCAAGATCGCAGGTCTCATCGCCGACAGCGATCCATTTTTTTCCCATAATCAGTGTTCATGTTATTAGAGAGAGAGAGAGAGAACTCACCTTTGAAACACGATTTGGTTGAGCACTGCACAGTTCCGTCGGTCATACATTTACACATATTGCAGTGGTCTCCCTTGTCAAACATTTCGCCTTTCATGAAACCTTCTCCGCGATAAACACAATCTGTAAAATAATTAAAATTAAAAAAATATACGATAATAATGCAATATTCCACCATTTGACTGGAGAGTCTTTTGTGGATGTGTGTCTGTGTCTGACTGTCATTTTATATTCTTGAATGCAAGGTATAAAAATAGCAATTACTTTTGCACTCTGTCCCAGCCCTTTCCCCCGGACCAGCCCCCCCCCCCCTCCACCACCACCACCAATTACAAACAAACCAATTTAATGACTTATTATAAAACAAAGAGGTTAGTTAGGAATTTGCGTCGGTCAGACTGAACAGGATTCTGTCATTTCTGTGTGCGATGAACTTATTTGACAACATACCTGGGTAACATTGTTTGTTTGTACATTGTACGACCCCTCCATGTAGACACCTGCATTCATTACAACCGTCACCTTTGCGAAAGTTAGACCCAGCCTCGTACTCCCTGCCCTTGTGTTCACACTCTGCAGAAAGAAACATGAGGTCAATTGAATTTTATATTAGAAGGATTTTTGAGGAATTTATAACAATTTGATTAGACCAGAACAAGACAATTTCGAATTACTACATGTATTTGGTAGCTATATAAGTTAAGCCTCCTCAGAGGTGATGCATGTATAAAGAGGGATGATTTTTACGATTTCCAATTGCAATTTATGTTGATTTTTTATTTTGATTAAAAGAAAGCAGCAAAGCAAAACGATCTCTTTCTTATTCATCAAATTCAAAATTTTACATCTACAAATATATTGTAGAAATTCTAAAAAAAAAAAACTTAGATATTTACATTATTAGTATAATTGAGAATCCTGACACCAGAAACTAATCTTTCCAAAAATTAAACTTCAAACCTCAAATGATATAGAGGTTTGAATGTTCCTTACTCGGAGCACAAGAGTCCGTAGTACAAAGTAAAGAGCCGGTCACCATACACGTACATCTGTTACAGTTATCTCCCTTAGGGAATACAGCACCAGCTTTGTAGGTTTTGCCTTCATGTTGGCAATCTATGGAAATAATAAACGTCATTGTGGAATTTACTTTACATATGAAAAATTTGCAATCTATGTAATGCAGAAACATGTCATGATTTTATGCGATTTTCAAGTACAGCTGATTTAACGTACACAATGAAAAAAAAGTTTTTTTCCTACTATAAACATGCGCATTACATGCATTATGAAATAAAAAAATATTAGAAAAAATTAATAATAAATGTACCTGGAAAACATTTATTTTCCGTGCACTTGACTTTTCCCGTCACTAAACATGTGCACGAGTTACAGCTATCCCCCTTCTTAAAGGTATCCCCCGCTCTGTAAACTACGCCTAAATGTTGACATGCTGAAATTAATAAAAGAATAGATTATAAATACTGTTTCCCTAAAAATTCACGGATAAGCGATTTAAATAGATTTTGTTACATGTACTTTTTTAAAAAGTTGATTAAAACTCACTTGTACGTATACATGTATCATAACTTTACTTTTTGTAATTTAGTGGCTCAATTAATAATATTTAAAACATGATGCATTTTCAACTTTCATCAGAAATACTTCTTAATTAAGATCTTCGAGAGCTGGTCTTAATCTGCAATTTCACTATGTAAATTTTGATTTGGATGCTTCTTGCCTTCTTGCCTACCTCCCCCCCCCCCTTTTTTTACTTTGCGTTCAAAAAAACTTAAAAACCCAGGCGCTTGAAAGGAATATTGTACAGGAAAATTGGAACACAACCCTCTCCAAAGTACGAGGTAGGATTTTAGAGCTTGACTAGTTTACTTTTCTTTATTTCTTTTTTGACCCCCCCCTTTCAACTTTGAAAACCGTTAGTAGGCATGGGATGTTTCATAATCCCAGGCATGTGGCATGCATATATATATATATATATATATATATATATATATATATATATATATATATATATATATATATATATATATATATATATATGTATATTCAAGAATGAGTCTTACTGGCTTTTCGTATGCACTGCCTCCTTGAGCACAATATCTGCCCGGTTAGTTTACACCGACATGTATTGCACCCGTCCTCAGCGGGAAATATCATTCCATTTCTGTATTGCTTCCCTAGGTACACGCATCCTGTAAATTAACCGAATAAAAGAAATGTTAGAAATATACATGCATAGACAGTCATTTTGAAACAATTTTAGATCTTATGTTTATTTCTATTGGTTTACAATTTTTATTGTCTTGGCAGTACCTTAAACAACATGTGACTAAACATGAAAAGCCTGAATGTATTTACCTAGTTTTGTCCCTGTCTGTATAATGTATTTTCAAATTTGTCGGACAGAGTAAATATGTATATAACCTCTTACAAATGACTTTACAAATACTAATATAATTTGTCGAAAAGAAAAAAAAAACTCAAGTCAGTGAAAAACAGCTGTCGAAATCTCCAAAGAAAGATGTGCATCGAAATTAATTATTATAATTTACATGGATGAATGTCATCTAATTAACAAACAAATATTGTTATTTTAAGAAAATTTATTTTGAAGGCCATATCAAGGTAATTGCAAAAATAAATATTTTCTGTATTTGAAATACGTTTTCTTTTTGTTTTAGCGGGTATATAAATGAGATTCAAATATTTATATTAAAAAAAATAATGAAAAATAATGGATAAAATTGTTGAAATTGGGTTTTTCGAGTGACCAAAATGAAAAACACTGAATCTTTGCGTGGTTTCGACTAAAAACTAACTAGATAGACCACATCAGAAAAAAAATAGTATGTTTTTTATCACGTCAAATTATTGAAAACGTTTCGATATTTAAAAAGTATACAAGTTTATCGAAAAAAAAACCTCTTTAAATACAAGAGAACCTGCGTTTTTGAATTGAGAAAAATAAAAATAAAGTTCAATGCACTTTTCCACAGAGTTGAACTGTAATGTTTGACAAGATATAAATAATTTTGAAAACATAAATCAAAATTTTCCTTGGCAATAAGTTTATTTTAAAATGGAAAATTAGATTTCTTAAATTTGTCATTGCAAAAATGATATATTGCCTATGGTCAGTCACCTCACAGCTGTTCAAGATATTTGCAGCAAACCCTGTTTATTTAAAATGTTTTTGGCTGTAAATCAAATAGCATGCCCACAAAAACAGCCTCGAATATTGACAACTTATTATCTTATTTTACATTCGTATGTCAAAATTGAAATTTATTAACAGTTGACATTTGATTGTAAAACGTATGAGTCATTATTTTTGTCAGGTACTTGGCAGTACGTAATAATTTATCACTGACCCGATCCAAAACAGTTATCAATTGCAAAATAAATCTTTCTTTATACATGTATTAGGTAACTATTTCAAATTTTGTTAAATTTATCAAAATAAACTGGTCTGATTTTTTTAAAACATAAATTTGCATTTTTTATTTGTTTGGTTAAATTAAAATGCTACTGCGATTTGTTTACTAAATACCGAAGACACATAGATATTTGTAGAATGCATAAGCAGATAACAAATAGTGTTGATTTTCTTCCTGTATGCACCTACCTCTGTTTATTTCTAGGCAAGTTATTTTTGCGTCGTATTCGCATTTACATTTCCGTCCTACTCTATCGGTAAATATCTGTCCTGGTGTGTATGATTCAAAACCATCTGAACAAACAGGTTCAGGAGCTAAAAAAGAAAAAAAAACCGAATCATGTCAAATGCACATCTGTTGAAAAGTGGGATATCATTATACTAGCCTTACTACATCTAGAAATAAATTTTTATTCGCATCAATTCTCTTTGCAACAAATGCATTGTGACTGCAGTTTCTTTTTTCATTATTTAAATTCGCATTAATTTTACTGCGAATGGTATTATATTTAATGCTTGTTTGTCTAAACAGGGCATACAATTAATTATAATGACATAATAAATGTCGCTTGGACTCCTACGCGCAATTAAGCAAGATTAAAAATTTTAATATGGTAAACTGATTACTAAATAAGAGATACCGAAACAAGTTTTGATTCCCTTATATCAGATTGTTCAAGTTCTGATGGAGTATCATCCATGTAATATTTTAAAAGAAATGAAAGAAGGTTTTAAAATTGGCCATACCTCAGTAAAACTGATTTAGGTTGAAAACATATTTCAGAATAAATCTGCAGCAAAGAAAATTTACATGTATATACTTATTTTAAGAAAAGAATGAGGGTGAATAATCTGGTTGTTTTAGCCTCGCTAATAATGCCAAAATTAAATCCTCGCTAAAGATTCTTTTTATACGGTATTATAACCCCTGTTTTGAAATTAACATAATTTATGTGCTCTTAAAATGTTGTAGCTTTTGCGCATTGATTGTTTTGTAATCGACGCAAAGGATATTTCCTTTCTTCAGATGACTTCTTTATACTATATTGGAATTCCATATTTTTCTTTTAAGGTCAACAGAATGTAATTATTCATACTCCGTCCTTAGTACATTTCACTTATAATCCGACGCACTAGGCAGGGTTTATTTTCCTTCAGTGAGTTGGAGTCTTTGCCAAATTTTGAAATTCAGCACTATTATGTTAGAAAAAAATAAATGTAAGTCTTAGTAGGTATATACTCATACCTCTTTAAAAGAACAAAGTATAATATCAAAAAAGAAAATGAAACGCAATGAAAAAACAAACAAAGAAATTGAACAATGAGACATGTGCATAACGCTACTGTGTACCTAATAGGGAAAAAAAGTATAGAAATAGAAAATTGGACCATAATATCACTTTATTATTTCGATATCCTGATTTAAATACTGATCTAAGATTCCCAAACCACACTCCTGACATATGGATGACGAATTAGCCATGGGAAATTTATAAATATAATGAGAATCTGATAAACTGTATTTGATAGCTTCCTTTAAAGTAGTACAAGATTTTTACCACATGGTTATTTCAAAGTAAAGCAATACAAAATTTGTGATTTACATTGTTCTAACATTAGCACAACGCATTTGCAGATAATCAGATTCATATTCAAATATAAAATTGAGGATTGGTAATTAAAAAGTGAACGCGAAATGCGCCATGACTTCACTTTCAAGGAAGTGAAATTGTGTCTTTCGGCGCAAATTTTATAAGACCAATGTTTGTTTTTAGCCTTAAGTATGACATTGTTCATATACCATAAGAGTGTTAATTTAATTTTTTTTTCTGTATTTGAATTCATCTGAACTGTTTGGATATTATGTGTCATCCAAAAAACCTTGAGACTCGAATGAGAATCATGACCTAATGACTTTCCATTAGATACCGGAGTACTACGTTTAAAAAGAATCCTTTCTCACAATAAATTCACGTACTAGGGACAGCAAAACAATCATATTATATCAGCGTTTTGTTTATTTGCCGAAGTTCTTATCGAGAATTTTCGAAGCCATCACTTGAGGCTGGAGGATTTCAAAATTCGATCCATACTTCGTCATGGAGCAGTGAGGGATAATTTTCTTGCCAGCATCTACTACGACACGGGTCCTCGAATTTTATGGTCTCTTCCGAAGGACCAGTTTCAAATTCTGGCAGTGGGATTCAAACACGTGACAACAGAACAAATTCCTTACTCTTTGACTGTAGAGCTAATGCTCTAGCAATTGCGTCACACAGGCGACCTAATAACATTTGAAACAAAATTTAATATATACACTGTTACAGTAGTACTTTAAAATATATTAGGTTAATATTGAGTTTGTACTGTTTAAAATTGTAATTTTTTAAGCTGCTGTGGGATTCATAGTTATCGTACTTGTATTTTTATTAACTTTTGAGTGTATTCTGCATTTAACCTATGTTTCTCCTCATTTGACCTTTCTTCCAGTATTTTAAAGGCTTAGAAAAGTCGTCCTTTGCAATAAAATAGCCTAAAAATATTCAAAGTCCTAAAGGTTAGAATTATTTCTTTAATGTCATTAACAGCAATTCATTACATTGCAGTTATAATGATATAATTTGCAACGAAATGATGAGGCAGTGAAATAGAAAATGTATGTATGATTTTTTATCTGATACCTGACACTGTGTAAAAGTTGGGTAAAAAAAACCGAACAGTTATCAATTACATATACTTGTTAAAGAATTGAAATCAATAACAGAAAAAAATTTAAACCAGAATTGCGAAAACACAGCGGTTGAATCAGATGCCGACAAGAACGAAGCCTCCCCTTCAGACCGGTTACATCCAATATGAACTGTCCGTAACAATAAGGTACAACAGAATTAGTTACTGAAGTCATTATGGTACAGACTGTATAAATCAATAGCCTATCGGGTGTTGCGAAACATATCAACGCAAATACGACCTAACGATGGGTACATTGTATCAGTAGTAAACTGTGTCATTATACATATAACAGCTGTAAATTTACAGTTTTTAAAGAAATGAAATGAAAAACTCTGTAATATGAACCAATTTGTCAGTAGCATACCTATGATAAAATGGAAAACTCTGTAATATGAACCAATTTGTCAGTAGCATGCCTATGCTAAAAGCTGTTTTTTGGTACATGTATTTAATCGGTTGTGAAAAATATATAAGCGCTTTTTGCAAGAGCTTTAGATCTTTAACGACACCAAAAAAAAAATGATACATGTATTGAGTTAAAATAACAAACCTGTAATCGATAGTAATACTTGATAATAAATATAATTTTTGAACAAGAAATCAAATCGCATTATTAGCAATGAGAAATTTGTCAAATACTTTTAATAAATATTTTTTTTTCCCAAACCGTAACCAACTGCTAGGCACCGGTACTGAAGTTACAGTATATTGAACAAAACTCTCGTGTATATAAGTCATTTATTAAAAAATCTAAGAAATTATTTATTTTGTAATTTTATATAAGAAAAAAAAATACTTACAATCTGCGTATGTCTGCACCACGAAAAGGCAATGCAATCCAAGAATATAAAGTATAAACATGTTTGTATGAATTAATAAAAAAAGAAAAGTCAGTAAATGATTGTCAATTAAATTGATGATATTGAAATATGATTTCAAATACAATGGCTTTTATATTGACAGGATATGTTCCGGAATAACATCACAATGTAACAAAGAATATTAATAGCAATGTTGCTTATGACATGTTACATACGTCAGATTTCTTATTTATTTTTAAGTGGTGGTATGTTGCCTTTGACAACTTAATTGTTGGCGTTAAGTAAGTGTCAAAGATGATAATGAATGCAAATTTAACTTGTGATGCCCCGCAAGAATTCTTCAACTAAGAAATTTGATGCATGATGTGGTGAGTGATATGATGATACAAATAAAAATACAGGAAACCAACAAGTTCCGTGACAACTTTAACAGGAAACGGATTATTTTCTGCATTTTATCTTGTTTGCTTTTATCCTGGAGGAGATTTTTAAGAAAGACATGGGCGTTTTGGAACGTGATGTTTTTAACCCCATGGTTAAGCTTAAATACCTAAAAACACAAAAACATTGCACTATGCATGGTGGTGCTAAATATGGTTTAGTTTCATTTTAAAATGTTAGTTTTTAATGCTATGTTGATAAGTTAACTTCAAAATTTGTTTTAACTTTTATTGTCCAGCCAGCATTACCCACTGCATTTTAGAGGTTTAAAAATGACTTGTTTTCAATTAGTCCTTAAAAAATGAAAGAGCTTTAAGAGGGTATGAATAATAAATTACAAAGAAAACAGGAATTCACCCTGTATTTGATTTGATACATAACTGAAAGAGTTAGGTTCACTTTGAGGATAGAATGGCCTTGTCCTTATATCAATTAATAAACTATCACACTCTTTTCCCATTTCATAAATCACAATAAAGTACCAGTAGAGTCTTGGTGCTTACATTTCTTATAATAAAGTTTATTTTTGAAAATCAAAGTATTGGAAAACAGGCTTTGAGAAAATAAAAATGCATTGTTCTTGAATTTTGCAGAAAACATGCATCTTTGACTACCTTCAGCAAAGAATTAAAATATGAGCACAGCCCAAGATATAAACATTAAAACATGTTTTTTAATCTTCAGAAAGGGATATTTTATTATGGAACTGCATATTTTGGATCAGAGGCTGTGTTCTATATAAAATGTGGAAAAATGCTTCAATTTAAGGTCATTGTAAACAAATTTACGGGTGAATTTCATGACGTCATAATGCATTAGATAAAGGGAAACGTACGTCATGTTCAGTAGATATATGATCACCAATAGTCCAAGTAATAAATACTGCATTTTCAATCTAAACCGAGCAGTTTTGATTTTTCAAAAATTCCCAGGGTTAAAAAGTCCTAAGTGGCTCTTTATCTTTAAATTGAGCATGTTTCTTCTAGAACTTGTTTTTAACTATATAGCATATCTATTTTTTCTTCTTTTTTTTGTTCTTTTGCTTAACCAAGAAATAAATATTATTAAATTTAGAATAATTTTGAATTTTTTCTTTTTTATTATTATAATTATATCTTTTTTTATATATCTGTTTGATTTTTGTTCATGGCCTTTTTTTTCTTCTTCAAAATTCAAGGGTTCTTTAAAAGCTAACCTTACACAAAAAAGAAAATTTATATGTAATATTGCAGTGTCATTTTATACATATTAATACAAATTTTGAGCGTTTGTTCTTTTACTACAAAGTAAGGAGTTCATGGTTATGTCGCTTACTGGTGCTTATTAGTAAGGAGTTGATTCGAATTCCAGCAGGACGTGGAGACATGTCGAATCCCACTAGAGGACATGGGGACCTGTCCAATTCCACTGCAGGATAAGACCCTATAAGGCAAGGTTCTCTGTCGCAGTCGATGTTACCAAGAAAAAAAATCCTTAATCTTTACTGCTAAATTACCTTGAGTGGCAAGACATATCTTCATTTCAACCCTCCAAAGACAAGTAATGGCTTCTCAGTCGCGGTGAAAATTAATTAAATTGATGTTTAACAAATAAACAAAAATAAGCAAAGTAGGAATTAAATATTGTGTTCTTTCAAAAAGTCAGACCATTGAATATCAAACGCCAAGAAAGAATTAAATTATCTTTTTTTTTATTTTTTGTCAGCCTTTTTGATTTTTTTTATATTAAAGATTGTCTTTTTTTCTTTAAGAACATACTATTCTTAATTGCGACTGAATAAAGGTGATTCAAGTTTTCCATTTTTATGGTGCCTACATGTAAAACATACTGATATTCTTCAAAACAAAATTAAAACAAAAACATAATTGGCATAATTCTTTTAAACCTATATTCATAAAATTGTTTTCTTAACATCTGTATTTGTTTTTAAGCAAATCACAGTGCTTTATATTCATCAACAGGTTAGTTTTCCACACTTGAAGAACATATGATATATATGATGAATGGATGTTTTGATTGATTAATGTAGGTATTTTGACGTATCTTAATTTTAATAGATGCAAACATCAAATTTAATGTAAGAGTTTTACCTTTTTCCGTGAAACATCGCATTTCTATTTTTTTCTGTCATCATGGTGATGTGTATAAATAAATACATTTTTCATCACTTTCAAAGACAATTTTAAACTTAAAAAAAGGAAAAATGAGAAGAATTGGTAAACAATATATCATTTTGAAGATTTCAATGGTATAAATCACTTATGCATGTGACCGTGTGAAACGATCTGTTGATTTTTTTTTTTAAATTTTCATTTAAATTGCAATTGCAAAGAAGAAGATACATTTTCAATACAAATTAAGCCCGATATTTTTCGAAAATATGAAAGTGATATGCGAAATCAAAATTCATTCTTTCTTAATCATAGGAATCCCTTGCAGTAAGAATATGCAAGTCGTTTTTCTCATATGACCTCCTTAATGCTGATTTTGACGTCATTAACTTGTGTATTTTCCCGTATTTTCTTAAAAGGTTGCAGAAGACATCAATTTTCAGTGAAATTTTCTTTAAGAAAACATGCTCTGCCACCGTCGCCCGGAAAGATTTTGAGATATGTGATTTTTCATAGCAGTTTACATAATATATCCAAAAATTAAAGTGGGCGACGGTGGAAGACACTATTTTCTAAAGGAAAATTCGCACAGAAATGAGTCCTTTTGATGCTTTTCTGAATTAAACTTAGAAATGCACCAAATTACTCATGTCATACTTCGAGAAAGGTCCTCCTTTATGCCATATTTTTTCATGCTTTATCACATTCATCTACTCAACTATTGTTAAAGCCAGTTTCATAACCTTTTGAGAACATTAAATTTTCAGGGCACAATAAAGCTCAAACTGTACCTTCTTCTTACTTGATGTGACCGATTTTTTTCAGTCAAATAAAATATTTTAAAATGATCTAGATTAATATCCTTTCTTGCATTTAAAATTTCCGGTTCATCTTTCAGTCTTACATACACAATTTAGTTTTAAAAGAAAAAAAAATTACGAAATGTCTTCTTCTTGAAAAGAGAATTTTGTTGATCGTACTCGACGGAATGACACACTGCTATAAAGAAGCCAAAGAAAGTTATAAAGAAAAAAACCCCCAGATATTTAAAAAAAAAAAGCTCAGCGATTGAATCATACATATAGTTCCTTCTTGAAATAATACCAGTGACTTCATTTTTATGTCTAATCAATCTGCTTTAGAATTTGCTTGACGCAAATGGAAACATTATACTACACAAGGTCACTAAGTGAATATGATGAATGAAATTAATATCCTACTGTCAATCATTAGATATATTTTTATCCGTTTTCTTATAAATCTCAAATGATTAATAAAATTAATATATTCCTTAAACAGAAATAGAGAAAAAGAAGTATTATTGTAGAAAAAGTTTTAATTAATGTATCGCTTAAATATACCATAACACCTGTAGATAAGAAGTTCGGTACTGATATGATTTTCCTTACTTCTTCATACTTTTGGTTATGATCGTTTCTCTTAGAAAAAAATACTCGGAATGATAGTTTTGCTTTTAAAAAAAATATTACGTACGAGGGAATATTAAAAAAGTTTGTGGTACATCGCCATAAAACTAAAACCGCTTTAGTTACATAATTGAACTTTAAAGTATCTAGTTGGCATCATTTTTTCTATCCATATAATAAACCACGAATCATAAATGTTAATTTTTAGTAAAAAAGTAATGTTTTTGCAAGCATTGGTATGCCCAGCCGACGCAACCTCGAACACGACGTTTTTTCGACCTACGTATAACCGAGAAAAACTCTCTTGATATGAACATTTGGCATGCAAAAATTTTATCAATTCAGGTATGTGTTTGGACACTATTGTTTCGTCAAATATGGAATTTTAACCTCATTTTGAAAGTTCTATGAAATTTTATCATAAATTGTACATGGAGCATTCAAACAAATAAGGCCTTGGAAATGACGTCAAAGGGGGGGGGGTTCCTTTTCCAACATTCTATAAAGTTTTGCCCCTGAAAAAAAAAACTAATATAGACCTAGGAATAGTTTAAACTGGCTACAGAAAATTAATTAGAATACATTCAGAGTTTTTGTTTTTAATGCCAAATTAAATTCAGAGAGGAAAGAGATGCTCTTTTAATGCTGATTTGTAGTTAAGGTAAAAAATCAATCACGTCCAAAATGACGTTGAATATGTTATACATATTAAACTCCAAAAAGCAAAATATGCTGACACGACAAAGCGAGGATCTCTCTCAGTGTATAAATCCATTTGCAATATTGTAAGCATTTAAAGCCACTGTTCAGGGCATTAAAAGTTATATGAACAAAACGGGTTTAAATCCTTACTCAGCTCCAGAGAATCCCATCAAAATTAACACAAGTGTATGAGGTAAAAGAAGCGGACATTGAAAACAATGACGTTGTCGGACGTCACGAAACTGCGGCGGCGCCAGGTGATCATATAATGTCGTTTTTGTTTTATAATAAATTGGCAAACAATAAACGTAATCAGCTAAAATTTTCAAATTTTATTTTTTGTTGTCTTCATATTCTTTATAAATTTTGAAAGCATAGACTTCATAGTACTAATTTATAGCCTCAGTCCACGAACTTTTTTACAACCCTTCGTATTACACAGAAATCATCAAA